ACAATTACTTTTCCTTCTTCCTACCTCTAAACACTTTCTCCTCACAGGGTTTTTTTTTAAAATCAAAATTAGCTTTATTTGAATAATTTCCACCAGTCTCTGTCAGTTTGTTGTACTGTGGTGGCTTGCATGTTGCTGTGATGCTGGAAACTATGCCATCGGTATTTCAAATAGCAGCAGGGTCACCCATGGGGGACAGGTTTCAGAGGAGCCTCTAGACTAAGACAGATTAGGAAGATAGGCCTGGCGATCTACTTTGAAAAATTAGCCAATGAAAAGCCTATGGATCACAATAGAATATTGTCCAGTACAGTGCTAGAAGATGAGCGCCCTGGGTTGGAAGGCACTCAAAATACACAGTGGCTGCAACAATGGTCTCGAACATCCCAGTGATCATGAAGATGGTGCAGGACCAGGCAGTGTTCTGTTCGGTTGGACCTAGTGTGGCCATGAGTCAGAGCCCACTTGATAGCAACTAACAACAACTAACAAAATAATTCCACTTAAAATTGGATATTCATAATATAATATGTATTAAAAATTTTTTATTGTGGTAAAATTTGCCATTTTAACCTCATAGGGATTTATTTGACTAAGAATTGGACAATTCCTACACTTAGCAAACAATGAAATGTATAGAATACATTGGCTTTGAATATTATGCAATCAGTATTTTTGAGAGAAATCAGACAACTTTGCTGCTAAATAAAAAGAAGCAATAAACTTGTAACACCACCTTTCAAATAAAACTAGATTTTTGGTATAAAGCCTTAAAAAATGGGATCATTACTGCACATCCAAGGAGTCCTGGTGGTGCAATGGTTAAGTGCTCAGCTGCTAACTGAAAGGTTGGCGATTTGAACCTACCCAGCGGCTCTAAGGGAGAAAGACCTGGCAGTCTGCTCCTGTAAAGATTGTAGCCTGGGAAACCCTATGTGGCAGTTCTGCTGTGTCACATGGGGTCTCTGTGAGTTGAGATTGACTTCAAGGCACCTAACAACAACACTGTGCATCCAAAGAGCCCTGGTGGTGCAACGGTTAAGCTCTTGGCTGCTAACAGAAAGGTTGGTGGTTCAAACCCACCCAGCAGCTCCATGGGAGAAAGACCTGGCAATGTGTTCCCATAAAGATTACAGCCTAGAAAACCCTCTGAGTCTGTCACATGGGGTCGCCATGTTGGAATGGACTCGACAGCAGACAACAACAACTGCACATCCCCTTTTGTAGCCTGCTTTTTTTCCACTTAATTTATTATGAGTGCCTTTCTGTGTCGTCATAGTTCCTGCTAAAAGTTTGTAACTGATGCCTGCTGAGTAGCCTTTTCTTCTACAGGCATGGGAAGGACTGTCGTGGGAAGGACTCTCACCACTGGAAAGTCTGGGTGGGAGAGCGACGGTGCTATGCTGACCCTTTGTGCAGCAAGAAGAGTCTTGCTACCAGATTATTTTCAAGAAACAGACTGCTAGGCTGAGGACTGACTTGAATATGCTTGCGAACCAGCTAATTTGCAAAATCCCGGGTGGAAATATTATTGTTTTCTTGTCCTAGAGACAACCTAGTAAAGCCCTTAGGAGTAAAGGCTTGTAGAGTCAGACAGCCCAGGATTTGAATCTCAGCATGGGCAAATTATTAAACTTCTCTGAGTCAAATGTGTCATCGTCTGTGGACAATGAGACTTTCCATATGAGGCTATTGTAGGAATTGAGATCATGTATATAGAGTGCTTCCCTTATAGTCGAAGGTCAACAATGTTTCCCTTCCTTTCCCAAACCCAGATTCTCTCCAGGAAATACCTCGCTCATCTCTGACATGAAACTTGTCAGCTCCTGACTCATGGTGGCCCCACGCACAATGGGATTAGACTGTTGTGATCCATAGGGTTTTCATTGGCTGATTTTTGGAAGTAGATTGCCAGGCCTTTCTTCCTACTTCATCTTAGTCTGGAAACTCTGCTGAAACCTGTTCAGCATCACAGCAACACACAAGTCTCCTCTGACAGATAGGGGGGTGGCTGCACTTGAGGTACATTGGCCAGGAATTGAACCTGGGACTCCTGCATGCAAGGCGAGAATTGTACCACTTAACTGCTCTCTGAGATGAAACTAACCCCTTCAAAGAAGAAAGAAAGAAAAAAAAAAGCAAGCAAGTAAACATAAATAACTATTTAATCAGAGCAAAATTGGAGCAGTGCTGTTTTCTGAATGGACTAAGAACTGGATAAGTGTTTTGTTTGGGCTTCAGGTTCTGTCCTGTGAGTTGTACCTGTTCCTCTCCCCTCCCAGCTCACGTCTGCCTTGGAGACCACAGAGCCTGAGAGGAGAATCAGCAGGTACTTGGCAAAGCGTTGATTGAGCACCTCCTATGTGCAGCCCTCTGCTATTGGGCCTGAGAGGCCTCCTCAGCCCTGAGTCTGTCTGGAGAACAGGCTAGCACAGACATTAAACTTCTGAGGAGCGAGAAGGGTGGGCATTGGAGGAAACGGCTCAGCTCCGGGATAGTTTGGTCAAGGACCTTGGAGACATCCTAGACAGTTCTCCTCACTTGAAAGATGGGAACAGAGTCCTAGAGAGGTGCAGAGATGTGACACAGGCCACTCAGCTCATTAGTGACAAATATAACGGCATCTCCAACAACCATCTGCTGTCCCATTCCTTAGCTTCCAAAAAACCAAAACCTGTTGATGTCAAGTGGATTCCAACTTGTAGCGACCCTATAGGACAGAGTAGAACTACCCCAGAGGGTTTCCAAGGAGCAGCTGCTGGATTTTAACTGCTGACCTTTTTCTTAGCAGCCGAGCACTTAACTACTGTGCCACTAAGGCTTACAGGCTATTTATTAAAGTTTTTTTTTTTTTAAGTGTTTTTCTGCTTCTTTCGTTGTCTCTTTTCCTCTGAGTTCCTTTTATTTTTGCCTATTTGTTTTGCTCTCTGATTTCAAGTTACAGCTTTCTTCATGTGCCAGCGGTCTTTGACCACCTGTTCATATTTAAGGGCAAGCCAGTCACTAGAGGGTCATTGGAAGCTGTGTGGTGGGCAAGCCAGTCACTAGAGGGTCATTGGAAGCTGTGTGGTGGGCATTGTCCTACAACAGTGGTGCTCAAACTGGGGCGATTTTGTCCCCCAGGGGACATTTGGCAATGTCTGGAGACATTTTTGATTGTTACAGCTGAGCAAGGGAGTGCTACTGGCATCTAGTGGGTAGAGGCCAGGGATCCTGCTCATCATTCTATAATGCATAGGACAACCCCCCAACAAAGAACTATCCATCCCCAGATGTCAATAGTGCCAGCTTGAGAAACCCTGTCCCAGGATGATCAGGTGGACACCAACTCCTTCTTCTGTAGTCTTTTCTTTGAGCTCGTCAGTTTCTCTCCTGAGAAACCTTTCGTTCACCTGAGGGACAGGGTAGGTGGTACCAGCATTCTGAAGCCAGGTGCATTCAGCAAGCAGACTTTCAGGTAAACCCAGCTGTTTTCACTTTAGTGTCTCAGTATACAGGGAGCACAGTCCCTGGGTGGTGCAAATAGTTAATGTACTCAGCTTCTAACCAGAAAGCTGGCAGTTCGAGTCCACCCAAAATGCCTTAGAAGAAAGGCCTGGTGATCTCTGTCCAAAAAATCATCTGTTGAGAACTCTATGGAGTGCGGTTCTATTTTGACGCATACGGGATCGCCATGAGTCAGTATTGACTCAATGGCAACTGATTTTGATGAGAACAGTGAAGAACTTCTCCAAGTCAAAATCCCCAGAGAGCAAACCTCTTGACTTCCATGGATGGGCAGGGGAGTGACTGGACAGCTTAGCTTGGGGAGGGGACTCATGTGGGGAGAGTCTAAGTGCTTCTTATACAAACTTCAAACCGTTCCCCTGCTTTCAGCTCCATTTTGCACTCCTGCCTCCAGCGGCGCCTGGTACCTCCAGTTTCTGAGCCTTCCTGGGGTTGTACACTGTGACTAGATTTGCTTCTTTATAGACAGTCAGAATTCCACTGTCTCTGGGCGAAGTCATCTTCCAGAATTCTGTTGCTAGCCCCTTCTGTTGCCTCCTCTCCCATGCTCATAGCCTTACTTATTCCTTTACTGTCATTTTAGTCAGATTGGGGGCAGGGGGCGTTGACATGTTTTGAGCCTCTCATCTTAAACCAGTAGTAGCATGCTTATGTGGGGCCCTGGTGGCACAGTGGTTAAGAGCTTGGCTGTTAACCAAAAGGTCGGCAGTTCGAATCCACCAGCTGCTCTTTAGAAACCCTATGGGGCAGTTCTACTCTGTCCTGTAGGGTTGCAACGAGTTGGAATCGATTCGATGGCAATGGGTTTGTTTTGTTTTTGTTTTCAGTGTCCTTACAAGGAGCCCTGGTGTTGCAGTGGTTAAAGTGCTCAGTTGCTAACTGAAAGGTCGGCAGTTGGAACCTACCAGCCAGTGCTTGGGAGAAAGATGTGACAGTCTGCCTCTGTAAAGATTTACAGCCTTGGAAACCCTATGAGGCAGTTCTATTCTGTCCTATAGCGTTGCTATGAGTCGGAATCCACTCCATGGCCGTGGATTTGAGTTTGGGTTAGTGTCCTTATGCGCTGGAAAACTCTAGATTTCATTGAAAGCTTTGATGTACATCTGGCCTCTGAGCCAGAGGAGAAAGTGCTGGAGCGCTCGAGCCCTTCCGGTGTAAGTCTTTCTCAAGGCAGGCATTGAGGGACAGCGGGGAGGCAACGTATAGGGGGCTGGAGAGCTCCACGACTTAATCTCTCTCATCCTCAGTTTCCCTCTGGGTGCAAGGTGTAAGCTCTGCCTGCAAAGGTGAAATGAGTTGATGGATGCAGAACAGCAGAGAACTTTGTAATGGGCTGTTGCCATCCTCATGGTTGGAGTTGTCACCTTCGTCTTCATTAAAGTACATGGTCAAGGTGCTGTGTCACTTGGGCACAGGACAGGACGTGGCTCTCCAGTAGACAGACTTAACCCCACAAATGAGCATGAGTACCAACTGCCTCATTTTCTTGCCAGAGGACTCCAGTCTGGCTGGCAGAGTGATGACCCACTGGCCAATTGGACGGGGCTCTTTAATGTCACCGACGACCAAGCAGTGCAGAGCGGCAGTGACTCCAGCTCCAGGTACTGACCCCGTGAATGGCCAGGGAGGGGGGGAAGCTACTGCCTCATTGTCTGCCCCCCAGAGCTGCCTTCAGCAAAGACCAGGCTTGTTACCATGGCTCAAATTTTACCTCATGCGGGAACCCCACCTTGCTTTCCCTGACGTGAGGGGTAAGTGGACATGAAAATGGGGGAAGGACGAAATCACAGCAAAGTAGGGAGCCTGGAAGTTCGCTCTTGGTGTCTTTAGTCACCCTTCACTGCTCTTTTCTTGCCCTTCTGGAGCACCTCCAACCTCTCCCAGTCCTTACGTATGCTGAAGGGCCTGTGTGTTCCTGTCCCAGCAAAGGATTAGCTAGCCACACCTGTTCTCAGGGAGGATGGGTGCTGAGTTCTCTTGTGCATAAGAGTCTCTGGGTGCCCTCTCTGTTAGGGGTAGGGATGTGGCGTGGGGAGTCCGGGTCTCAAGCCTCCATCTGAAGTGGGTCAGAGGGTATCCCCCTGCTGCGGAGATTTTGGGCCCCAGCCTGCAGATGTGTGTGGGTGTGTGGGGGTTGCAGCTGTAGTGGGTGCTGTGCATGGGCCCCTGCTCCTCTGAAATTCCCCTGCACAGGCAGGGCCTGCTCTGCCCACAGGTGAGGCTGACCTTGGCTGGGGAAGCACCATTTCCATCAAGTTGGCATTGAGATTTGACATTCAGACCATCTTGTGGTTATTTCTTGATCTGTTGTAATGTTTGAAGCTAAGAGTAGTAACTAAGGGCACTCTGTAGAGTCAGGAGTGGGACTTCAGTAAATATTTGTTGAATGAATTAGAGTAGAATATTCTCAAGTGAGGCAGCATGCTCCTTGTGGAGGGCACTGTGGGGAATTTTCGCAGACAAGGCAGGATGCCCTCTCTGCTTGGAGCTGGGTGTGGCTGGAACCTACCAGCTAAGGGATTTCCAGGGGCTGATTAAGCTGTTTGTCTTTTATTTTTTTCTTTATTTCAAAGTACAGGTTTACTTTGAGATCCATTTCCCTGGAAAGAGGCCTGAGTTTTCAAGCTATTAATTTTGACCCCAAAACCTTAAATTGACCCTGCAGAGAAGAAGTAATGTGTTTTTCAGGTACCCTCAATGCATGATATTTTCGTTCAATGCTTTGAAAAAGTAAAGGTATGGTCAAATGTCAGAAACCATTAGGGGCCACATCCACAGACAGGCCTGAGGGTGTGCAGGTGGCTGCACACCATGGCCCAGGCTTGAGGACCCCTCTTATGGCCTGTCAGGACCCCAGTTCTTTCCCTGTCTGCAAAGCGTGTGGTGGGAGCCTTGGCCAGCTGCTTGGCCCCTGGGACCTTGCTCAGTGTCATACTAGGAGGGTGAGGAGTCCACAGAGTTGTTCCTTCTAAATGTTGAACCTCTAACATTGGCCCTTTTGCTGTGTGACCCGCCCACTCACTCAACACAGCTAGGTAAGTCAGCAAGCGTCTGTCTCTCAGGATGTGTTGTGTGCCTCCCTGGGAAGGACTCGCTTATGGATTGAATTGTGTCCCTTCAAAAGATATGTTGAAGTCCTAACCCACCATACATGTGAATGTGACCTTGTTTGGAAATGGGTCCTTGAAGATGCTATCAGTAAGTTAACATGAGGTCATACTGGAGTAGGATGGGTCCTAATCCAATATGAGTGGTGCCCTTATAAAAGAGAAGAGACACAGACACAGTAGGCAAGGTAAGCACGGGCTTAGTTGTGCTTATTTGCAAAGATGTGGTGAAACCCACGTGAAACTGCACTAAACACAAGTAATCCCATGCTTACCTTGCTTATTGTAAACCCATACATACCTTGCTTACCGGTTAATCAGCCCCTGCACAGACACACAGACACAGGGCAGGACAGCCAGGTGAAAACAGAGGCAGAGATTTAGCAGTCAGAGAACACCAAGGATTGCTGGAAACCATCAGGTGCTGGAAGAGACAAGGAAGGATCTTCCCCTTGAACCTCCAGAGAGCATGGCCCTGTTGACTCCTTGAATTTGGACTGCTAGCCTCTAGGCTGTGGGACAATAAATTTCTATTGTTTTAAGCCACCCAGTTTTTGTACTTTGTCACGGCAGCCTTAGGAAACTAATGTGAAGAAACTCCTTGAAAAGTTCACTGTGGTTTTGGCTGGAAACTACTAGTCAAATGAGCAAGATGGGACAGGCCTCTGGGAAGCTGTTTCTGGGCAGATGTCCCTGGATAGCCGCCGAGACTACTGCACGGATTCTATTTCTAACTTTTTCTCCTGCCAGCATCTTTTTTCTTTCCTCCCTCTTTCCACCATTTTGTCTCTTGCTTCTCTTCCCTTCTTGCTCTACCGATTTTCTTTTCTCTCTTTTTTCCTGTCACTTTCTTAGTCTTTCTTCTTTCCTTTCTCCTCCACTTCCTTTCTTTCCTACTCCCTTTCTTGTTTCTGTTCCCCTTTATTTTCTCTTTCTCTCCGCCTCTCTCCAAGACTCAGGCCAGCCTCCCATGCCCTGTCAGTTGAGATGGCTCGGTTACTCAGAGTCAGATATCACTGGCCTCTGCCAGCTTGGTTTTGGAATTCAGGTGCTCTTTATCCAAAGTCGTTACCAGCTGAGTTGCCTTCCTTCTCGAAAGCTGCCACTTGATCAAGGGCTCTCCTAGTCATGGAATGATTGTGACGACCACATATCCCAAACTCCCTGGGACAATCCCATTGCAAATCCCAGTTCCTGTTTGTTCCCAAAAGCACCTACATATGTGAGAGACTGCAGTACATGTATTTCCCACATGTGGAAGACAACGGTTGATGTAATTAGAATGGAACCCTGTGTTGGAGATTTTTTTACCTTGGTGTGTGGCTGACTTCTTGCTTCTTTAAAATGGGCAAAACAGCTCCTGGCAGCAAATTTGCAGAGCTCAGAGAAGGACCTAACGAGGACACCATGGAAAGTGCTCCGCAGAGCGAAAGTGCATCATCCCAATTAACAGCTCTCCATGCCTGAGATACGTGATGAGCTTCGCGGTATTCTCCACCTATTGAATAATTCAGTGCATGCTATATTTTGCTATCTATAGCTGTGTGGTATGCTGAAGTATAGTGCAACCTGGTATCACTTATTAATAAGAGGGTGGGAAGGGAAGTAAAAAAGCAATCAAACAAAAAAACAAACCCACCATTGTTGAGTCAATTCCGACTCCCAGCAACCCTATAGGACAGAGTAGAGCTGTCCCATATGGTTTCCAAGGCTGTAAATCTTTACAGAAGCAGACTGCCACATTTTTCTCCTGTGAAGTGGGCTGGTGGGTTCAGACCGCCAACCTTTGGGTTAACAGCCAAGCACTTAACCCCAGCACTTAACCATTGCACCACCAGGGCTCTGAAGGGAAGTCAGGAGGTACCAAATGTAACCAATGGATAAAGAGGGGCAAAAAAGCAAATAACTTGTAAATTGTATACTCACCAGGAGCCACAAAGAGAAGGAGCAGGTACAAATGGTCAGCCTGGAAAATTCCAAACAAGACCACAAAGGAAATCCAGGCCAGACAGTGCTCATAGGCTGGAGTCAGATCTTCCTATTGGAGAAGGGCTGGAGGAGGGCCAGGCTGAATTGGAAAATGAGTGAATTATGAAATATTCATTGACATATGGTTTTACTAATTTAAGTGGAGGTCTACAAAGAGTTACCAGTAAGTGCCCTTAGACGAACTGCTTTAATGAGCAGATAGAAATAGTTTTAATTAGCAAATGCTTCCATTTAACTGGGTGTTTTGGACAAATAGGAGGGTCTTTGAAGACAATTCTCATCACATTGTTCAAATCATATGTTTATGTTTCTGTGCCCTCCACTAGACAGTGATTGTACTTCTTTTCTTTAAATTCTCAGGACCCAGTATAGCACTTGCCATGTAGTAGGTGTTCAAGGAATATTAATTGAGTAAAAGAATGAATTGAGCAGTGAAATAGTAAAGACAATTAGTAAGAACCAAACCAGTTGCTGTTGAGTTGATTCTAACTCATGGCAACCCCGTCTGTGTCACAGTAGAACTGTGCTCCATAGAGTTCTCAGTGGCTGATTTTTTGGGAAGTAGATCACCAAGCCTTTCTTCTAAAGCACCTCTAGGTGGACTCGAACTTAACAACCTTTAGTTAGAAGCCGAGTGCATTAACCCTTTGCACCACCCAGGGACTCTATTAGTAAGAAAGCAAGGTTTGATGTTGGTGCCCCTGAATCCTCCATTAGAGATTTATTCTGTTGGATTTAACCTTGTCCTCTGGTGGCCCTGCCTTTGAAAATTTATCCCCAGATTCTAGTAAGAAGACCAGACTTAATGGTCTGACTGAGACTGGAGGTACCCCGGAAAGCATGGCCCCTGGATTCTCTATCAGTCCAGAACTAAAACAGTTTCCGAGGCCAACTCTTCAGACAGGGATTGGACTGGACTGTGGGACATAAAATGATACTCGTGAGGAGTGTGCCTCTTAGCTCAAGTAGATACAAGAGACTAAACGGGCAGCTTTTGTCTGGAGGTGAGATGGGAAGGCAGAGAGGGTTAGGAGCTGGTTGAATGGACATGGGGAATCAGGGATGGAAAGGAGGAGTGTGCAGTCACAGTATCAGGAAAGCAATTAGTGTTACATAACAATGTATGCATAAATTTTTGTATGGGAAAATTTTTTTTCAAAAGTTAAAAAAAAGGAAGCAATTTATCCCCAGAAAGGGGAAATGCTTTGGAATCATAAACTAACTCATCCACAGTCTGGAGTTGTCAGAGAATTATCTCTTGAGAAGAGCAGGTAGGGGGTAACCTGAGAATTCTGGGCAGCTGTGTGGGAAAATGGAGACTTAACGGGGGTGGGGTGGGGTATATAAAAAGCAGAGAGGGGCCAGTGAAGACAATGATATACTTGTGCAATAAGTAACTGGTAAACTCTCCCAAACACCACCCTCCCATGGGACATGGGGATTCTGGGAAATGTAGATGGGGCGGGGGAGGTGAGAAGCATGCTTGTCCTCCCTGGCCAGCTCCA